AACCTAAGCCTCAGAAATCCAAGGTGGACGCACCCAGTTAACTCCATGGTCTGAAGCATCGAGCACTGCTGGTCCGAGGGTCCTCCTGCCTTCAGGTTACCCAGGCACACATCCCTCTTGCAAAAGGGCTTTGGGATGAGACAGAACAGGCCTCTTTACATCTGCTCCAGCACTCAGCAAGACCTTGAGGACATGGAATTTTTGGGCACGTCTCAGAAATAAATCAGACCCAAGTGAAGCTCAGCACAGCCAGCTCAGCCTGGGACACAGCTTGGTGCCTACAGAAGGCAGCCACTCATCACTGAGAAATCTAACTCGACCACCACATGTCAAAAGGCAAACTTCCCTCTTTATTACCATTTCATTGATTAGAGCAGCCTGCAAGGAAGCGCTTTAAGGAAATAAAACATGTAGTTCAGACTGCATGGTTCTCACTCCGGTGTGTAGCTGGTTGAAAGAATGAGACTGGTTGAAACTGGAAGTCTTCAGGAAAGAAAAATCTCTTTTTAGTTCCCATTTCTGATTCCTGTCCCGGCTTCTGCAGGAGGGAGGAAATGAGCTGCTCACAAATATTTAGTAAATGACAAACCATGCTGTATTTTTTCAGTGGCCCTATCAGTCACTGCTTACCCAGGGCTGTAGCTGTGAAGTGGGGAATTGTTGGAACGCAGAGCTGCACGGTGACCTGTGTCCCTTGGGAACAATGCTGGGGGCTGTCACTGCGCTGGAGCATCCATGCAGCCCTGAGCCCCTGCCACCCCATCCCCTGGGACCTGGCACACGCCAGAGCTAATTAACGACAAGCTTTATGACTGAATCGTTCTCTAGTCCTTCATGTCAGTACTTCATTATGGATCAAAACAAGCAAATCCAAGGAATAAAAAGGCAACAGGCTGTGAAGATAAAAAAAAAAGTGATGCCTTATCCATCTACCATCTATCCATCCACCCAGTGAAATTCAGTGTAAACTCACTGTCGAAGAGCTCCCTGAGCAGCTGCTATGAGCACTGGCTTCAAGGACAAGACCCAGCTGAGTCCCTGATGTGTATTAATTCAGTAACAGACTCCAAAACTCCAGAAGTCGACCAAATGAAAACAAACCCCAAACAGATATTCTTAAACCCTGCGCAGGGAGCAGACCTACGCAGTGTCAGTTACACATCTTTATCACTGCCCAATGATTGGTCTCCAACATAGATGCTTCTCAGTCTCTCACATGCAAGAGCTGTGGCTTTAAGTGAGTTCCACTGTGCTGATTTTGGCGTTTCTTTCCCTTTGGATTCTGCTGCAGTTTTATGTTCACCAAGGACCGAAGCTGGGAAAACATAGGCACTCCCTTACATATGAAGCCTTATTAAGTTGGGATCATGCTCTCTGTTGGCAGGCAAAGGAATAGAGAGACAGAGGAGAATGAAACTGGAAAGGGAAAAAAAAACAAAAACAAAAACAAAACACAAATAACTTTCACTCTTCAGAGCAGGCACGCCTTCCTACTCCAGCTCCCGCTGCTGATCATTCATCCCGCTCCTCTCAGCTCCCAGACAGCAAAGAGTCAACATCTCCTTCCTACAAAAACATGAGCTCCTGCTCCTGAGCCATACGCTAGAAAACACCCTGACAGGGACTCAGGAGGATCCTATTTCTCAGGATGGGGTTGCGTTTCCACAGTAGAACTGAAATATCTTTGATTACAACAGAAGCAAGGTCAATGGTGCTTTGAAGCGTTCCACTTTGCATGGCACGCGTGTTATCTAACTTGATTACAGCCCGGACCTTAACTCCTTCTTTGACAACTGGAGATGTATTCGAAGACTATAGCAGAAAGCACACAAACTCGAGTGATTAATGCCATGTGCCCATGCGTGCATCTGTAGAGGGATGTACTGTGCCAATAGGTGTGCACTTCCAAGGACTGTCCGTCCAAGAACAGTGTGGCCCAGGGACAGACCCAAGCACGCACGAGCCAGAGCCGCACAGCAGGAGCCACGCGAATGAGACACAGCCCAGCTCCCAAAACACTGCTGAGGTTTTGCGTAACGCGGATCAATGGGTCAGACTTCCAGTTTCCCAACTGTTTTCCCTGAGAAACGCCAGAACAGATATGAGTGAAGTCAAACAGGGCAGCAATAACATCACTGCCAACCAGCGTGAAAATTGGCAGAGCCTGGCACCGAGGGCTGCCTATCATCAGAGACAGGGCACGGCCCAGCGCAATGACGAACCCACTTAACAGCGCTGTAAAATTAGCCATTTATGAAAACAAATTGAATACTGCAGCAGAGGGTGACGTAAGGAGAGTTGGCTCCAGACAGAAACAGAAACTCCTGTAGCAGGATTAGCAGAGGAGCTCCTTTATATCAGGGCTCAGGCATGGAAGCTGATAACAACTCGAGTCCTACATGAAATTTTTAACAGACAGGCTTCCCTTATAGGCTCACGTGTGGGTGTGTGGCTCCTATACGACTTGCAGTGACTTCTCCTGTGCCGGCACGGAGGGATCGCAGAAGAGCTGTCAGCACAGGCGGAGGACAGGGGCAGAAAGCAGACGAAGATACAGACAGGACTCTGGAAATGAGATGCTCTCCAGCCAGCCCTGCCCTCCCCTTCAGACCTGTGCAAACACAATTTCCCACTTCGCAGCTGCAACAGAAGTTGGGGAGAAGCTCACTGCAAACTCGAGCCATTCCCTGCCCATCCAGCACCCAGAACTCTGGCTTTCAGAGAGGTCCTACAGATGTAACATCAGCAGCAGAACAGGGCTCCGGAGTCTGTCACATCCCAAAACAGTGAAAATGAGAAAGCCAAACGTTTTGGCAGCCAGAACCCTTGATTTCCTCACGGAGGGAAGCGTAATCTCTCCCTAAGCTTGCTGCAGGTCTGGGAGGCTGTGGTGTGCAGAGGATACTCCGAGTGAGTTCCTCTTGGACCTCTTCCAGGTGTTTACACACAGAGCCAAACCTGGCTCCTCTTCAAGAGTGTGTGATGGGGGAAGGGGGAGTTTAAAAATAAAATAAAAATCACAAAGTCCTCCCGAGCAGAGCTGCATGCTCAACAGTGCTAAACTGGGGCATTTCTTTTCATTTTTCGCCGCGGAATGTTATTTCCGTGCATAAAATGGGTCAAGTGTTTTATACAGGCAACAACCCAACCTCCCCCAGCCAATCAAAGTATTTTACTACAAATGATCTTGGTGTGTGTTTGTCTAGGTCCCCTATTGTATGAATTACAGATACTCGCACCAAAGGCAGACATGGGGTCTTAGATGCCGGATTAAATACAAACAAAAACACAGACCGTATTTCTGCCACTGATGAGATCTGTGCAGACCCAAATTCTGCCTCCACTAAGCTGAAAGGGAAGCGCTTTGAGCCCGGGGGTTTAAGTTACGATTGGGAAACAGAAGAGTGGAGCACGAGAATGCCTTCTCCTATGAAATTACTCATCCGCCTGCCCTACTGAAAGCAAAGGGGACCGTCCCATGCCCGGCACCTCCTGCCCACCCCAGCAGCCACACACGCTGCATCCCCCTCCCCACTGCGAGCAGAGCAGCTGGGACTGGGGAAAGTTAAGGAAACGCGCTGCTGAGTTCATCGTAGTTTTTGTTTTGCTTCGGACAAAGCAGCTTCACCAACAGGCGACAGCGGCGCGGGTCAGGGACGGGGCAGCGGGGACGGAGCAGATGGCAGCGGACAGCAGGGACGGACAGCAGGGACGGGCGAGCGGGGCGGGCGGCGGTGCCACCAGCAAAAGCATCCGCCTGCTCTAGGAAGTGCCTCCAGTTAAAGGGAAAGGGGAAATCCTCCCTGTCTCTTTAAGGCATCCTAGGACATGGAAACTTTGTGCTTTCAGGGAATCTCCTTGCCAAAAGAGCTGTAAAACATGTCTTTCACCCCCCTTTCTTTCCCCCCCCCTCCCCGCCCGGCCCGTTTCTCTTTCTGACTTGCTTCCTTTTTTTAAGGGCATTTCCATTTTCTATGACTTCCTTTGGAGCAAAGATGGATGTGGCGACATTTATAAGGGTTTGTAACCCTCCAAAAAGTATCCGATTTCACGACAACTTTGCTGCACTTTATCACTAAAGCGGGGAGAGGGAGGGAGGTGGCTGGAGGGGGGGGAGCGGGAGCGAGCGCGGGGGGAAAGGACCCAAATCCACGATGGGCTCGTAAAATTTCAGCAAGAAAAGTGCAATATTCCTCATTATTGTTCAGCTCAGACAGCTCAGCCTGGTAGCTGCTTTCAGTACTAAATGGTTTTATAGGGCTATTTGACCTTACAATCATTTGTGTTACACTTGCTGTTTCTAAGGGGAGACGAAAATACTTGACATCCTCTAGCTGCAGCGCGAGTCCCAGCCCCAGCTGAGTGCCGAGGGGTTGGGAACTTTATAAACTCATTTGATTCATTTGAGGTTTCACAATAGCCAAAAGTTCCTTTATAGCTTTTTGGAAACCACATGCTAACATAGCATCTAAAAAGGTAACAGTGAAAGTACGCTAAAGAGCTCATAAAAGTAAGGAAATCGTACAGGGACCTTACACATGCATTTCTCTGCAGCCACACGCTAGGCATACATTTCTTTCCATACATACATATAAGCTACTTTTAAATGCTCTACTTACAGTTTTCTGACCTGCAAATGAGTTAAAAACCCACCGTAAGAGCTCTCCCTCCTGTCTGCATCTCAATCCATACACCCAGAAATACAGAAACTAGCCCGGATACTGCCATTTCCCTATGTAAAAGTTTACATAACTTTTCCTGCCAGCATATACTTTCAGAGAGTTTGCCGAGCTCCAGTATTCCACAGAATATATGTATAATAAACACACCCGTGCATGTTTACACATGCACTCACATACGTCCGTGCGTTGCAAGGCACACACGCACATTTAAATGCACACACACGTATCCTATACACACGCACGCCTACAGCTGGCTGTTCTGCCGGCTCCCGAAACGTAAAAGGGATGCTGCAGCCACGGGCACGGCGAGCGACCTACCTGCAATGACAGCCGGAGATCTCTGTCCTCCTTCAGCTTTCAGCCACACTTGCAAAGTGAAGGCATCTCGGGGCAGCTCAATGTCTGCCTTCAGCCGCAGCTGATCACCTTGTCCACTGAAATAGAGCGCCCTGCTCGGGGTAAGGGACTCCTCGCCGTCCTCTACCTCCCGCTGTTGCCTCCTGCGGGGGACATGCCCAGGCTCCAGCCCAGCAGTGGAGCGCCTTCCTCGGGCTAACCTGGTGGCACAGGTGCCCGGGGCAGTGTAGAGGAGCTGGCGGCTGTGCCTGGTGTCCCTTCTCGCCCTGCGGGAGCGCTCGTCCATCCCACATTCGGGTCCACTGGCTAGGGCTGTACAGAGAAGCGCAAGAGGCAGCAGCAAACTCCAGAGCTGCATTTCCAATCTTCCCCCCCCTTCTCCCCTGCAAATCCTCCCGATCTGCCAGCTTTGGGCTCCTCCTTGCCTTGACTTTCTTCTCTTGTTCACCCTTCTTGGTATTTGCTCTTTTTATAACCCTTCTCAGTTGCTTTTTCTTTTCTTTTTTTCTTTTTCTTTCTTTCTTTTTCCTGCTTATAGATTTTTTTTCCCCTTAAAACAAATAAAAATAAAATAAATCAAAACTCCTTCTTGGTTGAAATGTATTTCTCTGTTCTTCCTCCTCTATCTGTCTTCTTCTCCTCTATTCCTCCACAGCTGGAATTCCTCTCTCTTCTTTTCTCTGCTGGATTTTCTTCCCTTTATTTTTTTCTTCTTAAAAAAAACACACACACACACTCACACACACACAGAACAAAACAAAACAAAAAAACCCAAAGCAACCCCCCAAGCTTTCTCCAAGACTCAGACCCACTGATTTCCCTCCCCCCAAAAGATGCTCTAATCTATTTATTTTTTTGGCCTCCTTTATAACATAAGCCACAACCCCCTCCTTCCCCCCAACCTCCCCCCCTCCCTTCTTCTCCACAAAATGAAAGAAAAGAGAAAAAGCCCCTCAGAAGATGAGTAAACAAGAATATGCTAATCTACTCTAGGGTGCTCCACCTTCCCAATTGAATGATTCCCATTAAAACTGCAGGGATCATGACTAATCAATCAGCTTGAAGAAGCAGATAGCTCCAGAGGTTCAAACAATTTTGCTGTTTTCTTCCTTTCCCCCTTCTCTTCTCCTCTTCCTCTTTCCCCCTATCACTTTCTCCTCTCCTATTTATTATTTTTTTTTTTCAAGGAGACAATCAAGATGAATGGATCAATGTGACAAAAATGCTGCACCCCCCTTTTTGCAGTCTCCCCAGCTTTCTTTCTCAGTCCAGTCCAAAGCACACATTCCTATTTTTTTTTCTTGGCAAAAGAGAAAGCTATTTCTCCTCTCAGACTCCCCGTTGCACTTTGCTGGTAAACCTTATGCTCCTCTGCAGCACATAAAGAGTCTTGAAACTTGAGTCTCAGATATTTTTTTAATTGCTTTCTTTCTTTCTCTCTTTTTCACTCTCTCTCTCTCTTTTTCTAATTCTTTCTTTTCCTCTTATTATTTTCTTAAAGTTATGCAATCAGCCAGGCTCCCCCTTTTGTGGTCCCCCTCAGAGCGGTTGTGTGCAGCTAATCCAAATGTTGCATCAAAAGGTCCCCATCGAGTCATGAGCAGCTAAAAGGAGAGAAGCTTGTTGGAGAGCAATTGCCTTCCAGAAGCTGCAGCAACAGAGCAGGATTTGGCTTTTGAATGCTCCCAAAGACTCCTGTTGTTGTTGGTTGGTTGGCTTTTTTTTTTTTTTTTTTTAAAGTAATTAAAAAAAAAAAAAATTATAATTTTGTTGGTGGACTGAGTAAAAAAATCCTCTCTCAATATTGCTAGCTATTCAGTCTAAGGAATTCAGCTCCCCTGGCTTCCCTGGCTTAGTTGTAGCCACAGGTAAGCTTCTGGCTGCTTGCTGGTTTGAAGATCTCTTTCTGAGCTGGGACGTTTCTTTTTTTTTTTCTCCTTTCCTTTTTTTTTTTTTTTTTTTTAAATAATATTTTTTTCACTCTTGAAAGATCTCAAAAGCTCCCCCTGATGGCAACAAAAAGTATTTTTCTAAGTACTTAATAAGTGGAAATAGTAGCACGCTGAACCTACTGGCCACTGCTCCGTTCAGATGAAGCCCACTAGAATGGAGCTGAGTTACAGCAAATGCAGCCTCAAACCCAGGAATTCTGATCATCCTCTTCTTCCACGTCAAACTTCATTGCTGTCGCTCCTTGTTTTCCTACAACTCTCAAGAGTTTTCCTGGGACTGTAACCTCACTGCTTTTGCAGACTGCCCTATTGGTACAAGTTGCTGTGGCCACTTGCACTTGAAATATACCTGATAAACTTAATGAAAGAAAATACTGTCATGTGGAAGCATTGTTGCATATTTTCGAGGCTTCCAGCAGATGGTTTTCCAGCTCCTCGCCAATGTGCAAACACTCAGGAATGTATAGCTGGCATCTGATTTTCAGCCATGTTGCACACAGCCACAAGGATCCACAGAACTCAACAAGAATCAGAGCAGGTCAGCCCCTCTAATCGCATGACCTTCCCTCTGTGCAGCTCTAATGGCAATAAAGATTAAAATACCAGCAACATCTACGAAGTTTTGAACACAAGACCTCAAAGCAATTAAGCCTCTCGCCAATCAGGAGGAAATTGTTAGGTAGCAAACAAACTCTACCACGAGCTAAACTCCCACAAACATCCCGAGGAACTCAGAGGGATGCAAAAAAGCCACTTACACACACACACATCCGCTCAGCAGAGCCTGTGCGCTCCACTTTACTATTGTAATTCAGCACATAAGGGATACTGAAAATCAAAAAGTTAACGTGAACCGGTTCAACTTCAAATAAGAGCTAAACCAGAAAGAGTTGTGATGCCTGGGACACTGCTTTGCTCATTGGAAAACCCAGTGTTCGGGGGAGTTCTGGCCTGGCTGGTAGGACAGGCCCTGCGTCTTAAACAACGTGGCTTCCAGTTTTTCCTGTGGAGAAAATTAATCCTGCAAAATCAAAATGTTTCTTTGGGGCATTGCGATTTGGCTGAAATCATCAAAGACAACTGTTGGAATATTTCAATTTGATGGCATTGCATCATTTCATTTTGTACATACTTGACCTTCTGCTCTTAAAACAGCGATGGCAAGAGCAAGAGCTTCACTGAGACCAAACTCAATGTTCCAATGCAATGGATTACAATTCCTGTAACAATTTCAGGAGCGTTTCTGCTACAAGCAAAATGCTCAAATCTCAACTTCCTGTATGGTGGACAGAAGAAAGAATGAAGAGATGGAATTTACTTCTAAAGGAAAAATTACAAGTTCAATCAGTTTTACTTCCAAGACATTGCAAAAACGCAAAGAAAAAGTGGTGCATAAACTCCCAAGTCCTGAACGATAAAGAACAGAGAGTAGAAGAGTGATGTGATTTTAAGAATAGGGAGTAAATCTGGGATTCCTTAAGTCCATGGGTCAGATCTAACTTCCCTGACAACAGATGAAATTCTACCCTGCACAGATGGACATTTATTTTCTGCTTAAGCCAGTACTTAAGTGATGTACGGGCCTTCTGGCAGGGGGGTTTCTACCCAAGGAGAATAATCCTCCTGTTGAACTCGAGCGGAGTATTCTCTTAAGTAAAGGGAGCAGGATATTGTCCTGCATGTACGGAGATTTTCACAAGAAAACAGGAAAAAAAAGCACCAAACCCTAGATACATATATAGAGACAAGAATTAAAATAGATATTTATGATATTATGCCAAAAAAATAGCACTGAGCTACATGCTGCATGCAGTCATTATAAGTAGAAATACTCAGCAGGAATCTTAGCTGAAGCTGCCAATAACTCCCAGGTTCAAGACTAGAGCTGAGTGAATAAATCATAACAAATAATGGTTTTGTCAAATTCTGACTTTTTTTCCCCCTCCTATTTGCAAGCTGACTGCAAAACCTCGCAAATATGTTTGAAATTACATGCCCATTTCTCCCTCATATTTAGAATTTCTTTAAGGCCAATTAGCACACAATTTGCCGCAATGTACACATTTTCACATTTGTTCTGCGGCAATTAGGCGAGGAAGTCACACAGCATTATTCTTGGCTCCCTGGGGGTCAGGTTTAATCACTCATGGTATAGTAAAATTACTAATTACACATAGGACGGGAGACTCCACAGTTGGAAATCTTCTTCGGCAAGAACGGCGTTGAATCTTCAAATGACTCACGTGAAGGTCAATTAAAAGCAACGTTTCTTGAAAGGCAAGCTGAAAAGTCTGCCAGATGCGGCTGAGTTGAGGCCCTACTATTCTGAGCAAGTATTTGTACATCGTCGTCCTCGCTGCGCACAACTCCATCAATCACAGCGGAGGTTTATATGGTTTTTACCCCTCACCGACATCCCAATCAAGTCTCTCTGAACTTGGCCTGGGTCGGGGATGGCTGACGCGCAATCCAACAGCGACGCTGCTCAGAATCAGACAGGGCCCAGACACCAGATTTTAATGCAACGTGTTGGATTCAGGGAATATTTTATGCAATCAACAGTGGTATGATAGGAATCACGCTGCCTCCACAGAATAGCGAGAAATGAAACCCAAAGAGCCGAGAGCAGCGTCAAAAGCGATGGGGATCTGGGCATTCCGGGCTGCCGATCCCACGCAGCCCAACACCTCCATGCACACACAGCCATGGACTCGGCGGCCGAGCGGTGAGAAGGCGTGACGTGGAACCTGGCCTCTGCCCCTCGCGAAGCAAACGAACGCTAATAACCGAAGAAACAACAAAAAACAAATGTCACATATGCTGAATCCTGGAAAAGATTTAACAGAAGACCTCATTCGGACTCGGAAAATTTGCCAATTTTTTTTTTTTTTTTTTTTGCTGTTTTCTCTATCTGTCCTTTCTCATCGTGTCTTGAAAAGGATAAAGAATTCAACGTTGCACTTCATGCTAACAAAAAACCCGAGTTTCTGAGTGCTTTACTACTGCCTGTGTTTTCACAATGCCATCTAACAACCCTGGCTCGAGCAGGAACCAAAACACCAGCACTACGTTACCTTTGTTAGTGGGCAGGAGACCCAACTGCTGTTCCCCGAGTTGCCCCACGTGTGAAACACACATGCTGTTACTTCACGTCAATGAAACAGCCTCACGTCAATTTGAAATATGCCATTTAATCCAGAAAAGTTTCCTGGACAATAAAGAAAGAACTGCAATAAATGACAATCAAGACTAAACACATAATTGATGGCTTTACAAAGGTATCAGTAATTTTATAAAGTAATTTGCAGTCAGTGGCTATAAATTCCTACTTAAACCTGGCATGCCACTCTTTTTTGCCCTGCAGAGAGCTGTATTACCTAACAATACTGATGCCTGTTCGCCTGGAATTCGGTTACTTTATCCTTCAAATTTCCCACATGAAGTATCGTATTTCCAGAAAAGTTACATATTCTTTGTATTTTATTTTTTTTTTCACCACATTCTTGAAATACATTCTCGGGGGTTGGGCTATAATCTCTATTCTACAGCGCTGCGGGGAGAGCAAAAAATGATGTTTCTCA